ACAGGCGTTTTTTTTTTTTTTTTTTTTTTTTTTTTTTTTTTTTTTTTTGTAAAATTCCACATCTGTTAGGAATGTCTCCTCTCCCTCGGATTTCTTCCTTTTCTATGAATGTCAATAACATTTTGAGAAATGTGGAGGACCACGACTCCCCTTCCCTTCCCTGAGGCCAGATTTCAGATTGAATGCGACCCTTTGGTAACGAGAGAAAACAGATACTTGCCTATAATCAGATCAAAGTGGTCGTTGACATTATATCTCGGATACTGTTTCCTTTTCCCGTTGAATATTTTTTTTAGAATTTCATCCTTCGCGCACTCGTATTTTGTGACTCTTATATCAATACTGCTTTCGATTTTACCCATTTTGTGGTCTTCTCTTTGTCTGGTATCCTCTGAATCGTCAATTATTTAAGTAGTTTTGCTCAGAGATGTCAGTCTATCCCTGAATTTCTTGAATGTTGCATGCAGTCTCAGGGTCATTGATTGAATCTTCAATACAAAATTAGCTGCAGAATATATAATTCACTCTACACTGTAGTTCCTACTGCAGAAAACATAGCATGTGTTATTGTTCTTTACTTTTTTTCTGAAACTGTACAATGACCTCATTAGATTGTTCGGGAAGGTCCCTTACTGCCGAGAGAAGATTCTTGTGATTAGAGGCAGCACTGCAATGCAACTCGATGCTAATCTTTCCTTCTCCCTTTGGAAGATTGATTCCAAGAATGTAAGCCAGATTTAATTATTGGTGTAAGCTAATGTATTTGAAAATGTGACAGGCATGTGAAGATATTTCCTTTTATATCTTTATATATTTTCATACTTGTTATATAAATTAAACAGAAAAAAATGGAACGTGTCTGTGAAATTACTTCTTTTCGGCCGGGACATATCCATTACGAGTATATAACAGTTTGGAAATAATGTTTTAAGAAAGTGGGAAAAGAGACAGCAACTTCTTACTATCTTTTATGAAAATGCTAACCTGGACAGGACTGACTTGAAGAGAAAGGAGCTTTGGTATTGCATTAACCAAATTATTCATATGTTAACGATGCAATTAGTAACAGCCTAACGAACTGTAGTTTCTCTCTCTCTATGTCTGATCACATCAGACTAGTTTTTGTTCGCTCACAGAATCCATTATAATTAGCATATCTGCTCATCTTAAGTTCAATTATCTTTGTTTATTTATTCATTTGTTAAAGTTAGTCGATTATATATGTGTTGTTTGATTTTGACCCATTGGTTCTGGAAATTGGAAATTGAACAGTTTTGGACTAAATCATTCTGATTTAGGTTCGGCAGTGAATCCTCAGATTTACATTAAAATAAAAATTCACTGCATCATTAGACCCTGCTAAATCTCTTTGTGTTTCACTTTCTGTGCAGAATGTGTGTCCCACAGACTCTCCTATATTGCCAGTCATTTCGGCCACATTTAGATATTAGCAAACTCTAGAGCAGGGGTTCTTAGCCTGAGGTCTATGGATCCTAGGGGGACCATGAGGTTCAGATAAAAATCAACATTACTTCTTGCATATAAAGGAGTGTGTGTGTATTTTTTAGACTGTTTACCTTAAAGTTTAATAATACTTTATGTATGAAACAATCAAATCTCGGCAAATAAAGTATATTATACATATTGCATGCAAAGTTGTGTTTATGTGAATATTTCTGGGGAAGAGGATCCAAAGCTTTTATCAGATTCTTAAAGGGATCCATGGTGCTAAAAAGGTTCCACCACTCTAGAGCCTACCGAATCTACAAAGCTTATATATTTGTTAATGTTATTAATTATGTTTTAGTAATAACTTACGGATAATCATTATTATACTATCCTCATATTTTCCGCATTTTCAAAGTTTAGGCATCATGCCTAAATTCGTTCCTGCCACCAGGGGGTATAAACCGAAGCAGTAAGTAGGCTACAGTCTGGGCAGGCCTTCAAACATGTTTTCCCATTACAACATCTAACTGAACCGAATTAAACCGTAGTTATTGGTAGGCTTTTAGTTTTTCATTCTTGCTGTTACTGAACCGATATAAGGTATCTTCACTATGAGGAAAACAATTATCCAGAAGTTTGTGACTGACTATCCTGTGCCAAACAATTAAAAATCCACATACTGCTTTAGTTCATTCATATATTTTCTGCGATTTAGTTTTGCCACTCAACATTTACATAAATTTCATCATGTAGGCTTAATACAAACTGATCAATGTTTTTGGGTTCACACTTCCTAAATCATCTTGCCTTTTTTATGTTTTTAGAGGACTATATCTAGGATGCATGCTTTTCCAGTGGCATGTTGGATAATTTGAGTAATGGGCAGTAGAGTATTCATTCGCCTTTCCAAAGACGGATATCAAACATTGCTAGTTTAAGAAAAACAGTCGCTCTCTTCCGAATTATAAACTGGTGCTGGACGGTTGAAATTGCTTTTAAATTATATATTAGAAAAAAATCCATTCCACTGCAACTGTAAAGAACGGCGAGG